AAAAAAAAATCATTGGTGTTTGCACTCATGATCTTAAATGAACTTGGCTTTCTTAGCTTTTCTCTGTGCATTGGGAAGCAGTTAAGTTCTGGAGTTGTGGATATTTTGAGTTCTGCCACCCAATCTGAAAAAGCATTTACCTCTCGAAGTTACTTTGCCTTTGGTAATTCCACTTGCCTTCCATCCCATCAGCCTCGCTGGGTTGCCAGGTGTCCACTATTTGAGTGGACAGTCCACTTTTTTCACATTATGTTCACTATTTTTTTTCACAAAATAGTGGACATTTTTTTTATTCAAAAGCTTTATGATGAAATGGTACGTAATCTAAAGCTGTACAGTCTACTTTTTTTTACTACTTAAACCCACCCCCACCCCCCGCTTGTCCGCTATTTTTTGGAAGCAGACCTGGCAACCCTAATGCTCAGTTAAGCGGGTGGACACCAATACAAATCGTGTGCACGGGACGCACCGACTTCATAGTTTACCTAACCCCATTTTCGGGAGACAGGAAGCTAAAATGTCGTTTGGGGTTCAGTGGGTGGTGGCAGAAAGAGGCTGCCAGTTTAGAGGCTCATTGTTGTAAGGATGGATATCCCCAGAGTGCTGGGGATGCGAAACTGGCAAACGAAAAGTCCCAGTCGCGCTTTGAGAAAAAGGGCTGAACGGCCGATTCTTAATACCGAATTATATACTGTATACTTAATACTGCGGCGAATGTGCTTCTGCGAATTTGAGGCCAGGCATCGCCTGACTCCGGAAGCAGGAAGCCCGGAGTGCCGCTGCTGGACTCGCACGGAGGCGCCTCTCGGGTCCATGTTGGATCCATGCGACTCGACCCGCCTGGGCGGTTCATGGGGTGAGACGGCGCTCGACAAGCGGGAGAGTCACCGCCAAGCTTGGACGGAGGCGGTGGCTGGGGCGGGGAAGGGTACTGGCAGACTGTATTTCTTGGGGGATCCAGGGAGGGGACGGGTGGGAGATCCGCGCCGAAGGGGGGGGCGAGGCCAGGAGGGTAGGCGTGCTTGAGAGAGCAACTCGAATGGCTTTTCGAGGACTGCTGGCTACTTGTTTTGTGGCCAAATGAATTATATATAGGGCAGCCTGCAAGTCCGTATACGCGCTTACTGGGAATGAGCCCCATTTGAGGTTATAGGGGTGGACTTCGGAGGAGACATGTTTCAAGATTGCTCTGTTAGAAAGCAAAAGGGAACCAGGTGGAATGGAAAAACACAAGCCCCTTTACCATTGACTGCCAGTAGGGTGACTGTAAGGCTCAGAAACGAAGGCTCTAAATTCATGTCAGAGGCTTCTGACACGGTGTATTGTGTGCTAGAGACCTGAAACGTGTTTTGAGGGATGAGGATGTTTTTGTATTGAGGTTTGTTTTTTTTTTAAATCTGAACAGTGTCATGTAATTGAGGAAAGTTCTAAATCTAAATTCTAAATCATGTAATTGAGGAAAGTTCTAAATCTAAATTCTAAATCATGTAATTGAGGAAAGTTCTAAAGTTCTAGTAGAAATCATGCAGTTGAATTTTGCAAGGCTTTCCTCTTAGGTGATGTTAGTTAGCACTAGGATGGATGGATGGACAGATCACAGAGAGTTTTTTTAAAATAAAGTACTGCCTTTACTATCTACCATAATTTAAATTCTTGATCCTGATATTCAGTTAGTGCATTCAGACAGTATAGTACCACAATATGTTCCAGGACTCCAGCAAAGAACTTCACATGGATTTATTGTAATCTATGGATTATATCTCAGTGTCATTCTGTTCTATAAAGTTTTGTATTCCAGTTGGTCCTTTTGTCTGTCTTGTATGAAATAGCACTGAATAGCTTGTTGACATTTTGAATATATTTAACATAATCAAAAACTCTTATGAGGATCAACAGCAGCTGACATTAAAAAAAATTCTGGCAGTGATAACCCTTGTGCTTTCCAAATGACACTGGCTTTTAGTTACCATCATTCCTAACTTTGGCAAGGGGTCAATATAGCCCAAAAATATGTGTGTGTGTGTCCCCAAAAGTAAGACCTACCCCGAAAATAAGCCCTAGCTTGATTTTTTGGGGGGGCCTAATATAAGCCCTACCCCCCAAAATAAGCCGTAGGTGCACGCCTAAAAATCAAGCTGGGGGGGGTGGAGCCGCCCCATATGCTCTGCACATGTTTATCTTTGGACCACTGCAGCCAGGCCTCCCATGGCCTAACGCCTTTTGTGCCATTGCCTGAATTCTTCTGTGGCTGCTTGCTCACGGCAGGAGACTGCACAGCTCGTTGCACCAATTGTGGTGTGAACGACAGGATGAGCCTTATGCTGCGAGCGGCAGCAGCAGCGGCACAATGCACCACATGGCATGCAGCCTCAAAAGAACTTGGGCAGTGGTGCGACAGATGTTGGGGCATGGGAGGCCTGGCTGCAGCAGTCCTAAAGTAAGACATCCCCTGAAAATAAGACCTGGTGTTTCTTTTGGAGGCAAAATATATATATATAAGACCGGGCCTTATTTTGGGGGTAACACGGTACCTATTCTATACTATTTTCCACAAGAAGCAGTCAAGTGCCTGAGTTTTATTGTGAAATAAACAGATAACATAATATTAAACACTCTTATGTTTTCTAAGATCTATATCTGCGAGAGGGAGTTGGCATCTAAAGCTTTTCAGTTCTCACTGCTGAATTTTAGGAACAGTAGACGTGTGTGTGTTTTTGTTTGGTTTTGGCTGGTTTTAGAACACAGGTGATTGGCCTGGAATTACAAGATGGCAATTCAACAAATAGTGGATAGAATCTAAAACTGCATGCATTATAGCAGGGCTGAATAACCCACAAACAACCTGAGATGTGCCTGCCATCCCCAGCACTCTGTTTTCAACTCTGGGATATCTGACTATCATGACACTGAAATTCAGTTGCACAGTGGCTGATTTTCCAGCCATGCAGCTTTCATTCATCTTTGGGTTTTAAGTGTGAGAATAGAAACACAAGCCTCTGAGGCAAAGCATTCCCATGCCCTCTGTGGGACCTGTGATAGCTTAGCATGCTGAGTTGTATCCCCAGTCCAAAAGAAATTGTCTCCTCCTGCTTCATAGTCTTTTCATTTTTCTATTCCAGCACTTGCTGTGGTGCTCAGAGCTGTTACAGAAGCTGAATAAAGTGAAGCTCTTTTTTTTCTTTCATCATTTTTCAATGTTTTAAGTAAGGAACATTGCAACAAAAGTCTACTTATTTATTTTATTAAATTTATCTCCTATCTTTTATTCAAAAGCTTAAGATATACATAATAGCCTCTCCTATTTTCCCCACAACAACCACTCTTTGTGCATTTTGCAGAAATGATTGTTATTAACTATATTTAGAAAACTATTTTGTTTCATTAGACATTTGCATAGGAAAGGTTAGAGGAAGTATATAGTCTTGTGGACCAACATCATGCGAAGCGGTGTATACCTACACTTATTTTTCATTCCCCTGCCATATCTGAAACACCTTTTGGAGTTCAAGATAAGCATAAGTGATGCTTGAATATATATCCACATAAAACAGTTGCTCCTGGTGTAGTGTTTTTCCATCAGAGAACAACTACACTTGCAGAAGTCACATGAGTCTTCCTGTTTTACAAATTTTATTAATTTTTCAAGTAAACATATAAACAAATAATACAAATATGGTGCATTTCATTAAAGAACAAAAAAGAAAACCTACTCAATAAATTTTCAGAAATGATCGGCGGTCCCCCCCCCTGCATCCACCCTCACTCCCTCAACCTTCCTACCTACTTCCCTCTTCCTTCCTTCCCCTCTTGCCCACAACCTCTCCTCCTTCCTCCTTTCCAACTATCCTACACATCCCATCACCTTCTTTACCACCTCCTCGGGTGCAGTTTAGGGGTACTAGCCGATCATCTCCTCTTCTAAAAAAAAGAAGTACATTATTTTTCTATAACATGTAAACACCAAATTTTATATGATTCTACCCCTTCATCCCCTTCCCCCCCTCCCCCCCGGGACTTCCCAGAACTGATTACAGGGTTAAACAAACATCATCCCAAGTCTAAATATTACTACCCAAATATAAGAGAAGTCACATGAGTCTTGACTATGTTATTTGATACCCATAAGTAGCATATTTCTTAAATGAAGAAAATATTGTATTAATGCATTTTGTAAAAGTTTAGTTTAGTTTTATTAAATTTATACCCCGCCCTTCTCCCGGAGGACTCAGGGCGGCTTACAGCCAGTTTAAAAACAATAATACAATAATACAATACAATACAAAATTTAAAAGTGATTAAAAATAAATATTTAACTAGGCCGCTTCTACTAAAAATTTTGTTAAAACCAATTTAAAATACCCCTAGGCCAGTCCTGCCCGCTGAAATAACCAAGTCTTGAGGGCGCGGCGGAAGGAGGGGAGATCCGGAATCACCCGGATCTCTGGGGGCAGCTCGTTCCNGGCACGGATCCAGTAAACATGTGGTTGCATTCAGCCTCCCGAGAATCCTGTCCACATCTTCAGGAGCCACAGAGTCAAACTCCTCCCATATAACAGTCTCAAGACTTACTCCTGTCTCCTCCCCCGGGGCCACCCAGTCAGAGTCAAGACCTTCTCGGATCCGAGCGATTTTGTCATACAGATATTGAGCAAAATCCTCAGCCCTCCCCCCCAGGGGATCTTCCCCCCCCTCAACTGGAGGAGGGAGCGAGTCACCCTGAAGAGGGTGGCCGGGCAATTATCTGATGACGCAATGAGGGTGGAGTAGTAATTAGACCTCGCCACCCTCATCGCCACTAGGTAGGATCTAACCTGTATCCTTGCCTGTGTTCGGTCGAATTCGGTTTGGCTCACCCTCCAACTGCTCTCTAGGCGTCTTTTCCGGCGCTTCATCTCTCTCAGCTCCTCGGTAAACCAAGTAAATAGAACTTAACAAAAACGTGGAATTTTACTCCTCTGCATTTCCCTTTCTTTGGGAATTATGCTGGTGCTGATTTGTATAAATGCTTAGTGCTTTGTGGGGGCAGATGCCTGTCTCTTATCTTCTCAGCATCATATGGGGAATAGAAAGTTAGAAGGTTAAAACAATGAGGAAAACATTATTTTCCAATAACGCTGCATATATTAGCATATCATTCCATCTTGTTGATATCCAGACTATTTTGGTCTTTTTCCATTCATAGAAATAGTGTTATTTTACTCCAGTACATGATTGCATGGTGTTATCAGACACCAGGACCTTGAAGATTCCTTTAAGAAGGATTCAGTGTTCTAAATATTTTCTCTTCTCGGAAAACATGTTATCATATTTTCTGTTGTGCAAGTATGGGCTGCTCTTGGTATTATATTGCTAAGTGCCATAAATAGAGCAGTATCATGGTAAAAGAAATGACTGAGTTTTAGTAAATAGTACTTTGTTTAAAACATTTTATGTATAATATTAAGAAATATTCTTCATTTGCATGGTTTGAGTATTCATTGACTAGAGATAGTGTGGATCATATCTGTGTCTGTTAAGCTGCAAGCATATAAACCATTGCTTTTGCAATAGTGAAATTACTTTGCATTCTGAAGTTCTGACTCCTACATTTCATTATTTCTTTATTGTGTTTGATAAAGTAGGATAACATCCCATTTTTGTTCTTTGTCAACTATTATTCATAGGCAAGAAATAGCTGCAGTATATCTCCAGAAACTTTAGAGAGTTACAGTAATTCTTGATCTGCCAATTGTGTTTAGTATAAACAAAAGAGAACACACAATTGTTGCTTGATAGTATCTGTTTGTCGTTTACTGAGATGAATAAAATGGCTTTATTTCGAGAATCTAAATGCTGATGCCTTGATTCCATTAATTACATGTTTGAATGAACTAGACTTGCTACTTGCACAGCCAGATTTTCAAGCTTACTAGAAAGAACGTACCGTCTAATTCTGTCACCTTCCTTGAGGCACTGGAATAGATTCTTTCTTAATTGTGATGAATTTTCCCTAATAGGATTTTTCATCAGAGGACATGGAGCTTTCGGCCAGTGAACTCAGCATTTATGATAAACTTTCAGAGACTATTGACTTGGTGAGACAGACTGGTTACCAGTGTGGTATGTCTGAAAAGGCCATTGAGAAATTCATCAAACAACTCTTAGAAAAAAATGAACCACAAAGGGGACCCCCACGCTTTCCTCTATTAATGGTTCTGTATAAGGTAACACAGTTTTGGATTCTCCATGTTCTTGTAGAAAGTGTACAAATAGTCCTTGACTTACGACCACAATTGAGCCCAAAATTTATGTTGCTGAGAAATTTGCTAAGTGAGTTTTGTTCCATTTTACGACTTTTCTTGCCATATTTGTTAAGTGAATCACTGCAGTTGTTAAATTAATAACACTGTTGTTAAGTGAATCTCGCTTCCCCATTGACTTTGCTTGTCAGAAGGTCGCAAAAGATGATCACATGACCCCGGGACACTGCAATCGTCATAAATATGAGCCAGTTGCCAAGCATCCAAATGTAAATCACATGACCATATAATGCTATAACCGTTATAAATGTAAAAAATGGTCATAAGTCACTTTTTTCGGTAACTGAGTGGTCACTAAATGAACTGTTGTAAGTTGAGGACTACCTGTACTGGAATTAGAAATCTAAATAGAATGAAATACCTGTGAATATGATTAGATCCATGGTTCTTAGATTTTAGGGTATATTGATGTTAATTTGTGCAACCTCTCTTTTTCCTGTGACAAAAACTAATGATTTCATTCTTGTGAGGATTGGATAGGAAATAAATATTTATTACTTATTTTTATTAGTGACTTGTTAATATATAGTGTCACAGAATATCTCAAAAGTTGCAAAACTACTATGGATTTCACAGGTAAAATGAGGCAAAGTTGTCTTTTGATAGTGTTCCTGCCATTGAAGCTTGCAGTCAACTTGCCAGGACAAATCTGGGTGGTAAACCAAAGTGAGCTTTTGGCAGCGGCCCCACTTTGCTTGCAAAGCCCCTGATCAGATTTGAAAATAAACAAGGGAACAAACCAAAGTGACCCTCCCCCCATAATGTTCCCCCAGTGACCCCTGACCCACACTTTGAGACTCTCTCAGATAAAAATTTACAGCAACAGTCATTTATGCTATCATGTTTATTGTATTGGAGAAATGTTAGACGGAATTAGTAATACTAATAATCTTATTCTTCTCTTCTCTTGCAGGGATTGGTTACCCTGGGAGTAGTTTTACTAACAGCATACTTCATGATCCAGCCATATACGCTTTCACCATCTGAAATCACACTTACCAAAGCCCATCCATGGGGTTCCTTCTTTCATCATATCCGGTTGCTGCCATTACCCATTACCAAAAAATACATGCTGGAGAGTAAGGAAATTATCTAAGCATTTATTTCATCATTAAACTAAAACAGCTGGATGCTTTACATATGATAAATGCAGATGACATAAATAAAAATCACTATTCAGTTCTTTATTTTTAAAATAGCACTGCATTCTGCTTTTTGTGAAAAGAAAAAGAATAACTATTAAAGTCAAATCTGCTTGCAGTAAACATCTCTTGATTCCACTATGCTCTTATTTTTGTAACAAAACTTAGCAAATTAGCTATAATGACTGTTCTGATACTTTATGCACTAAATAGTGTGGCAATCTAATAAGGTATTTTTCCTTAAGCTAAAACTATTTCCTGATTGATCTTAAAAGGCTCATTTTGAAGATTTATACATTTAAGTGCATTGACTCATTGATCAGTAACTAGATTACTTCAGTTCTGCATTTTTGAAGAGTGAAACCTAACCTATTATCACTGAAATCTTGTATAATAAATTTGTATCTCTCAAAACTTATGCAGAATTACATTTATGCCATTTCTAGTCCAGTTTGTACAATATGTTTTAAAAAAGAAATAATTTTAAAAAGGTTAAATTTCTAATATTTTGCACTCAGCCTTTATTTATTCATAGACTTGAAAGACTTGATTTGGTAGTTACTTTATTTCCCACTTTTCCTGTAATCTTCTGCTTCTCTCTAGCCTACTTCAAAGTACAATTCCTATTTTTTTCCTGATGGGTGTCACTATGATTGACAGACTAGCAATAGCAGCTTTTCCTGAAATGTGTTACTCATTACACTTAAAAAAATTACTTTGGCATGTCTGCTCACAGCTTTAAGGAACAGAAGAAAAATACATTAATTTTTCCAGCAATTTTATCAAGCTTTCAAGTCCTGGAAAACTTGGTTTTTCACCATTCTTGTTTATACATATGGCTAAATTATATGATCACTGTTTTAACTTCATTGTACTACTGTTTACTAACATGTATAAACAGGCTAATCTTAGAGAGCTGATATGATATTTGCCACTTAGCAAAATTTTGTTTGTACTTGGACTGTGACAAGTCAAAGGATCCAGAAAGAGAATCTGTCCAAGAGGCAATTATTTGCACAGGGGAATAGGTTGTTTACTTTTCATTAATTGAAATGTACAAAGAACACTTCTAAAAAAAATTGGAAGAAATTATTCAACAGTTTTCCTTTCTTACCAGAAAGTCATAACACTGATATAATAAGCAACCAAGGTGTAATATACACGAGTAAAGCTGTCTGAATTGAACATAGTTGAAAAGTCATTACCATTGAAGTGCCTTCTCAATTAGGATAAATAGAAACATTATCATTTTAGAATATTGCATTCACACATAATCAGGGAAAAAATATTCCTAGGAATATTGGCTACTTAAGTAATGATAAAATAATGATAAAAAAATAAACAGCTAATAAAATAAATAAATAGAAGATTCTGGCTCTTAGTGATTCATTTAATAGGATTATGTTCTATAGTGGCATTTCTATGGACTGTTGGGTGTTCATAGCAATAAAAAATAAACGCCAGATTCTGGTTTATATCTTTTGCTTCAGAAAACATATCCTAAATGGTTTCATAGTTTCTATTTCTGGAGCCACTCTCTAAAGATATTGAGTATGAATGTGTCCAAATCTCCTGTCTTTAAAGGGGAGATTATTTGGTACATGAAAACAAAAGAAGAATTCAGGCTGTACGGTACAGTTCCAGCTGTCTATTTAGAAAGGTAGGGTGTATCTGAAATTTCACAGAAGGAAGCAGCTAAAAGGACAACTATGCCATATCATGTTTTATTTTGTTTTGTCTGCTGTTGATTTGTTGTATTGTGGTCAGTGATTGTAATAAAGAATTGAACTGAAGTAAAAGAGCAACTTTGAAGGGAAAAAAGGATAGTTGGAAAAATTGTAAGTTACTTTTCTGCTTCAAGGGACAGGACCTGCCTATCACTTTTCATTCAAGCAGCTTATAACACTCAGGTTCTGCTACTCATGTTATATGTAACATATGCCATTCTCCATTTTCATTCTGTGAGCTCAGAAGAAACTTCTTTATAAATTAGCATGATGTGGAGATATTGGAACCATCTTTGAAAGAAACAGCATGTGTGAAGTCATTTCACATCTACCACAAATTGTTGTTTTCTTGCCATTAGTACTTGGGTTGTGATCAAGCTAGAAAAAAGGCAAGTTTGTATAATGCCTGAAATGGGAGCTCCCTTTGCCCTAATTTAAATTTGTTATATTTTCATTATTTTTGAACAACCGTCAAAAGTGTTGAAAGCTTAGTGGTCTGGAATCAAAAACGTGTGTCATCATCCAAAACTGCTTACGAAAAGTGTGGTTGGTCTAATTCATTCAAGGTGTCAGAATCAGGATTACAACTTGTACTTCAGTTCTCTCTTTGTTTATGGGGGAAATGCTCATCCTTCCATCACATTTAAATATATTTCAGATATATTTAAGTAATGTATATATTAATGTTATAATTATAAAATAATTATAATTATAAAGAGAAGTAGATTTGTTTAATTTAAACTTTAAAATATGAAGGCTGACACAAGTTTGAACGTGTTCCTTAAGAACATATGCCAGCAATATCTTTGAATTGCTCTGATACAGCAATACAACTGAGAATTAATTATGTATTTTGACATGTAGGCACTTACCTCAATGAAATTGTTTGGAAAATGCGGAACAGGAATTGTCAGGTGAAAAATAACTTTGGCTCCTAACAAAAGAGGTTCAGATATTTTTAGAGGCATCTGATTTAGGAGGACGTGGGAAAGTGCCAATGAAGCATTTAGGTTGGCTCATAAGCAGAGTTCCTTGTGGGCAGTGAGCTGCAACTGAAATCTAAAGGATTGTGGTTTGAGAGGAGTTAAGAGTGGTTTTTGTTTTTGTTTGTTTTTGCTTTTTTTTGTTTTGCATTTTAGAACCTTTAAACAATACTTACAAATCCTAATTTATGAGCAAGGGTGGGGTCAGTATCCATTTAGCTGGAAACGTTTGCAGCAATAATCTCTTTCTTTGGCAGCTGCCTTTAGCCTTAGGTGTTTGACTCTCAGCCAGTTTCCAGGGCCTTTTCCTACTCAATCCATTTGGATGATCTCAATTAGGTCTGCTCTAGAGCATGCACAGATTCCCATTGCAAATGAATATGTTCTTTCTAAGACCCACCAAGAAATAATATTGCCCCAAGAGGATGTTGTCCTCTTGCATAATCCAGCTGCAGCATCCTTCCACCACTATAATGTGAACTATAGCCTGATGCCTCAGAGCTATCATCAGGGTTTAAAATGCTGCCAAGCATGCTGAATGTTATTGCAAACAGCCCTTATTATTATAATCTGGAACCTAATAACAGACACATGTGTTGGGACATAGTTTTTCATGGACAGCCTGCCCTTTTAAAGATGGGCGGTGCAAGTTCTTTTTAACATATTTTGGCAGTTGGTCAGCAGGAGAATTGTTTGCTTGTAATTTTTGACAGCAGACACATTATTGTGGGAATCTGGAAAGCTAAAAACTCTTTTGCATTTA